TCACAGCTCAATAAACAGCTCTTCAGAATTAAGTAATTCCAATTTGTTCTCATTGAGGTCTGTGAGTCGTCCAGAGAATGTGATGTTACCTACACTCATTCAGATCAGGCTGCAACTTCTAAAGCCCTGATCGGCACTGTGCTAGGATGGTGGTGAGTCAGCCAGCCTGCCTGTGTACAGCGAGACAAAGACTCAGCCTTGGCCTGTCCTGCTCAGCTCGGTGGGTGCACCTGCTGTGGAAGCCATCACAGAGACCTCCAGTCCTGGCACTTCAGGCATTGAGGGGCCCTGTGTGCTCTCTGCCACAGCAAGGCCAGAATTTGGAACAAATAACCCTAGGAAGAAATGGTCCATGTATCCAGGTAATGCTCATGGCAGGACCAGCTACTGAGCATCCCTGATTCATTGGGGTGGACCCAGGAGAAGATGCAGAGATCTCTCACCTGTGTGGATCCCCAAGCCCACATTTTAAAATCCTCTTTCCTTATGGTCAGGCATCACTATGTGAGAATCAAGCACCAGCCCCCCCTTTTACAGAGGCCTGCATGATTTCTCCAAGGTCAGAGAGGTACTGGTTAAACCACCTGGGTCAGATGCCTGGTCCCACTCACTAGGTCTCTCACTTCTTCACCCGGGAAATCCCACTTACATGCTGTTCATCTGTTCACTTCTTAGAGACTGTGTATCAGACACTTCTGAACACAGACATCTATTATCTCATTTCACCCTCTCAAAAGTCTTCCAGGGAGATAATACTATATCCCTATTTCCAGATGCATCTTCTAAGGCCTTGAGGGGTTTATACCGTGCTCAAAGTCACAGAGCTGGCACAAGATGGGGCCAGAATTCAACTCCAGCACCTTGGCCATGGTGTTCTCTCCTGCTGGATTAGAATCAAAACCATGTATGGAAGAACCATGCATGGAAGAGAACCACACCACACAGGTTTCTTTTCTTTTTTTTTTTTCTGTGATGCCCCAAGATCAGCTGGAGCCTCCTGACTTCTCGGTGTACACCATCTGTGGGACACACAAGTCTATCACCACTCAAGAAGAGGAAATACAACATGGGTCACAGCCCATTCCCTTAGGATATCACTTGGCCCTTGAGAAGGCTTGGTTTCTATAGTTGTTGTTTTTCAGACCTTTCTCCTTTCTCTGATAAAAGAATAATTACTGTTTTTATTTTAAGTGTAAATACTTCAGTTTTGAAGCACTTAAGCCCCAGCTCAGCCAAGGCAAAGGGGTCTTACTAAGAAGATAAGTCATTCTTTGTAAGACCCTGTTCTCAAATGTTCTCATTCCTTGCCTTCAAGTGGCTACTGGGCACTCTCTCAAGAGTGACAGGTTTCCTCTGCTTGTGAGTGACCCTGCCTTTCACTGTCTTGTTTTGTGTGGATACCAAGAATTCCTTAGTAGGTATGTGTGTGTGTGCATGTGTGTGTGTGTGTGTGTGTGTGTGTGTGTGTGTGTGTGTACTTGGGCCATGAGCTCACCCATTTACCTGCTGTCTGAACGCTTCGGCAGTGGTTATAACATTGTGATATCAAGTGCCAACAGGACTAAAAATCACCAAGTCCTCCAAATGTGCCCAAAACAGCACACTTTAGACCCAGATCTGACCTCAGCTCTTCCCTTAGAATGACCCTCCACTCTTCAACCCTGCAGTGATGGCCCTCCTAGCCATAAAAGGAGTTGAAATTAAATCACCCTGCACAGCTGCAATTAAGATCAAATGAGATAACATATGTGAAGGGACTTGTCTACATTCAAGGGACCAAGCGCATGGCTTATCACCAACTGAATATTAAAATGGATGGCAAAGGGGCACTAAAAAATTGATATCCTATTCCAAACATATGGGCAAATTGCATTAAGGTACAATAAAACAGGGCCAGGTTACAGAAAATGTCAACGCACCACTGCTTGCTGTGAAGGAGCCCCAGAACCTCCCAGTACATCTCTTAAATGAATGGCAAGGGTTACAGGAGGGGGGTTCAGAGCAGCGGTGGCTGCTGGGTCACATTGAGACTCCTGGTGAATGCAGTAGAGACTGGAGTTCAGGCTGCCCACTTGCCTTAACTGCCTTCTCAGGCATAGCCATCAAAGGATGAAGCACGGTTCCAGTGGTCACCTATCCAACTCGGGGCATTCCTGCTTCAGCAAGTTCTCTGCCCCAGTAGCCTGTTGATTCGACTCCCCACACCTCCGTACCCTCCAGCTGAGTGGAGGACACAGGTAAGGAACAAAGCAAACATTTTCTGTTCCCATTTGTCTGTGTGTAAACATCAATGCGCATCACTAATCCCATACCTCTCCTTGCTCTCCATTTCTCACCAGGCACGTGCAAGGTGTTTGAAGGATGACAGAGAGCATGAGAATGCTGTCATTCTCTCACGGGAGAGAATGACAACCATTAAAAGATACAATGGATCTGGATTGTATCCATTACCTGGATACATCAACCATTAAAAGATACAATGACCGTTCCAGGGAACAGCTCAGAAAATTACATATTCACTGAGTATCTGAAAGGTCAGCAAATGCCACTGTGTCACACAAATCAAACTTGTGGCACCAGAAAAGCAAAGACAGGAAACTTAACGCAATCAGAGCAATGGGTTCTTTTATATATCAATGGCATTCCATGTAAATGAATGGAAAGGTGATTGGGGGGGGCTATTAGTTATTTTGTTCATGATGGCCTAATTTGTTGATCTTTAGCTTAAAAGTTCATGACATTGGGGCTGCAGAGATGGCTCAAGTGGTTAAGAACACTGACTGTTCTTGCAGAAGACCCGCGTTCGAATCCCACCACCCTCATGGCAGCTAACAACTGTCCGTAACTCCAGTTCCAGGGGATCCAACAGCTTCTTCTATCCTCCTTGGGCATTGCAGGACACGGGTGCACTTACCTATATGCAGGCAATACATGCATACACATAAAATAAAAATAATAAATATTTTTTTAAAAAGTTCCTGACATTGTAGTGATGAAATAAATGTCTACTGAAACCAATCATTCACTCATTCATTCACCAATCTACAGAACTCTTAAGGCTGAGTGTCATAAAATAACTGACTGTGCAGATAAAAGCAAGGCTCAAACACTGGCAAGTTCCATGGGTCAGTGAACAAAGAACCCATGCCAGGCACTCTGCCGAATAAGGGCACTTAAAACTGAGCAGGTAACGCCCCTCCCCTCGCAGAGTTATGTCTGAGACGGGAGTCAAAAAAAATCGAACGAACACGTGAAGGAAGTTGTCCTTGTAAAGTGTGATAAGACCTATGATAAAAATATCCAAAAATAACTGAAGGATTGATTTTGACTCAAGAGTTCTAGGGTACCAGCCATCATGACAGGGAAGTCGCAGGGGAGCAGTTTGAGGCAGCTGGTCACATTGCATCCATAGTCAGGAAGCAGAGGCAGAAGAACGCTGCTGCTCAGCTCATTTTCTCCTATTTATTCAGTCCAGGACTACAGCCCATGGAATGGCACTGCCCACGATTAAGGCAGGTCTTCCCGTCTAACTTAATCTACAGTATCTCTAACCTAATCTAGATAACCCTTCATGGGCATGCCCAGAGGCCTGTCTCCTAGGTGATTTCAGATACTGTCAAATTGACAATCAATATTAGCCATCACAAAAGGAAAGGAGACCAGATGATGTGAAAGATGACACACTGTCCTCCATGTGAATATACATCTAAAGTCAGGGTGGTCCCAAAGAGAAAAACCCAGAGTGATTCCCCACTCTGGTCCCATTAAAGCCACCAATTTACATAGGGTTAGCAAAGAGAGGACACGGTTTTCATACCAAGCCATACTTAACCAAAAAATAACAAGTCCAGAGCCTTGTGGGAAGCAAGCATTTCATTTCTCTTCAAGCACAGCAAATCTCACTTACAGCTGCATAATGTGAGCAGGTTCATTATTTCATTCACTAAATTTTGCTGTATTGTAATTTTAATCGGTGAACACTGCTAGTAAAATGAGTACATTCATTTGCTCTTGCGACCTGGTAAATTGTCAAACCAAAAGCAAAACTGCAACACAAAGGAAAGTCCACAAAGATGTTCATGTGCTTTGTTTGGGCCTACCAAGTCGACCTCTGGGGAATTTATTCTAAGGAAAATATCTGATTCCGTGGAATTGAAAAAAAAAAGTTTTCCTCAGAAGAACTGCACTGAGGTATTAATTGTTGCATACCCAAAGGAACGAAGAAGCAAAGCCAAAAACACTAGGAACTACCTAAGTGACTCTAAGGGGACTTTTAAAAATGGAAAAATTCCCTGGGAGGGATGGTATGCCTGTATATGCCCATTACACATGGTATGTGAGTAGGACCTGCATGTTCTCAAAAGAAGCAGTAGAGGAACCAATGGAAAGGCCAGAAACAGTAACTCCAGATAAACAGCCCTAAGAAAGCTGATAAACGTTGACTCCAGACTGTTGGAGGCAGGCTCATTTATTTCAAAAGTCATCATATGGAACAATTAAAAATCCCTCAGAGCCAGTGTGGCAGTGCACACTTTTAATCTCAGTGCACCAGAGGCAAAGGCAGGCAGCTCTCTGTAAGAAAGAGGTCAGCCTGGTCTACATAGTGAGTTCCAGGCCAGCTGAGGCTACAGAGAGATTCTGTCTGAAAAAAAAACATGAAATAATAACAACAACAACAACAATAATAATAATAAATAATATATCCCTCAGAAACAACTCTATGAGAACACTGTAGTAGAACATCTCCAAAGAACAAGAATATGACTTGTGTCCATCCTGACTGAATACAAAATAAAGCCACATTTGGAGGGATCCTCCATGTTACTATGTGAGAGCTTTGGGGAGAGGTGAATTGGAAACCCGTGCTGCTGTGGGGAAAAGAAAGAAGCAGGTAAGAGAGGGGCTTGAACTCCTCCTGGCAGCTCAGACTGTGGATAAATGGAGTGGAGAAGGTCCTGAAAGCCAGTGACTAGGTAAAGCCATAGATTGCTGGCACTCACCTTTCACAATCAGCTCCGCATAGTTGGACACACCAGACCCACCATCCGAGCGTATCACGCAGCGATACTTGGAGACACTACGTTGAGCAGTGTCTGCCACACTGACCGTGGCTGAGAAGCGCCTGTGGTTGACCACACGAGTGACCATGAGGGCCGTGTCTCTGCCATTCCATTGCTGAGGACACAGGAAGGGAGGGAGAGAAGAAATCATAGCATCACAGGATTCTTGGCACCCTATAACATAGACCCCACACCACTCACATGCTCCTGGGGCCAAGGATGTCCTTTAATGAGTTCTCATCCTGGATTAAACTATTGATCCAATTTAAAAATACAACTGAGCAGTTGAGTATGATGGCACATGTACTGGATAGCTTTCATGTCAACTTGACACACCTGGATTGAAGGAGCCTCAATTGGGGAATTTCCTTCAGACTGGCCTGTGTCCATGTCCATGGGGCACCTGCTTGATTGTTGAGTAATGTAGGAGGTTCCAGCCCACTGTGGGTGGTGTCACCCCTGGGCAGGTGGGCCTCTGTTGCATAAGAAAGCAGGCTGAGCAGGTGCCAGGGGAGCAAGTCAGTAAGCAATGATCCTCCATGGTCTGTGTTCCAGCTCCTGCCTCCAGGTTCCTGCCCTGAGTTCCTACCTTGGGCTCCCTAATGAACTGTGACCTGGGAAATATAAGCTGAATAAACCCATTCCTCCCAAAGTTGATAGTGGTCAGAGTGTTTTGTCAGAGCAATGGGGAAATAAACTAGGACAGAAATTGGTACCATGAGTGGGGTATTGCCGTGACAGACCTGACCTTGGTGTTTTTAGGAGGATCGTGGAAGCGTTCAGAACTTTGGGCAGGAAAGCCACTGAGTGCTTAAAGTTTGTTTCTGTGGAGCTTGGAACAGTTATGCTGAAAGAGTTGTGAACAATGGAGGCCTGGCTTGTGAAGCTTCAAGGGGAAGCAGAGCCTATCAGGGCTGTTTGTGTGATATCTTGAATTGAGAATCTGTGGGTTCTGGTCAGCTGGGGCTGCAGAATCAGCTGTGATTAAGAAGAGACCAGAACCTGAAGTAAAACCTTTGCTTTACTGGGACAACTGATGCTGGTTAGCTGGGGCTGAAACATCGGCTGCAAGTAACAAGAGACCAGCATCACTGAGGTGAGGTCTTCTGGGAGGTATTTCCTCAGGGTCAGCACACAGAGGGGACCCAAGCCTCCACCTCAAGCTGGAAGCAGGACTTGTAGCTAAGGACAAAATAAATAGCCAAATAAGTGTTAAAAGATAAGAGCAGGACTGTTGTGTATGACCGCATGAATCAATCCATGAGACACAGCTCCCACACCCAACCGGCAAAGCGCCTGAGAAATCTGGAAAATTCAAAAGAAAGAATGGACAAAATGGTGCTGTACTGACGCCACAAAACATGAGCTAATCAGTGAGTGGATAAAGATATGCCTAAGAAATAAATCATGCAAAGGAGACATGGAAGAACTGTAGAAAACAACAGCATGTGCAGAATTGACCATGCCACTGGTAGTCAAGAGCAGATGTAGTTCTGCAGAAACTCGCTGGCTGGGCAGACAGACTTGAGAGCAATAACCCAGAAAGCAAGGAAAGCAAAGAGGAAAGGACCTGGCAAGGGACAAGTGGATAAAGGAAACAAAATCCTCCAGAAGGAATGGATGCCTCAGAGGAAGAGAGCTGAGTGCACATCACACCCAACATTAGGGCACTGTCCTGTGCTAAGGCCAGAATACTGAGGCTGAAATGGCTAGCCATCTAGCTGGTGAAATTGATGAAAACCTAAATAGCTGGGGCTCATAAAGATACTGACAGTTAAGGATAAAGGACTATAAAAAGCTAGGAAGGAAAAAATAATATATCAAACAGTAAACCCATCTGGAATAAAACTCTTCATGTACAGTTGTTTCTGAATCCAGGGTGCTTCCCACAGGAGGGGACTGGACCACCAGTGGTGACAGTCTCAGGATGCTACAGTTAATTGGGCACTTGTAAGAAGACAAGAAATGGAGCTAGGGAAAGACAAGTAGAGACTGCTAATGAAAAAACCAAACAGGCTAGAGAGATGGTCGAGTATGGTCTTGCAAAGGACCCAGGTTTGATTCCCAGTACCCACATGGTGGCTGTAACTCCAGTTACAGGGAATCTCATGCCCTCTCCTGACCTCCGTGGGCACTGCATGGCACAGGTGCACTTACACACATGCAGGCAATACACCTATACACATAAAATAATAATATGGCTGGGCGTGGTGGTGCATGCCTTTAGTCCCAGCACTCGGGAGGCAGAGGCAGGCGGATCTCTGTGAGTTCAAGGCCAACCTCGACTACATAGTGAGCTCCAGGACAGCTGGGGCTACAGGAAGGCCCTGTCTCAAAAAGACCCAATAATAATAATAATAATAATAATAATAATAATAATAATACCACCAAATCAACAACAGCAACAAAACAGTCAAATGCTCACTTCATATAACCCTGTACAGGTAATTCCATTCCCAAAGCTTCAGTTTCCTCCCCTGTACAATGGGTTTGTGCAAAGTGCCCACCTTGTGAAGTCGTTGTGAGGAAAAGGTAAGAAGGTACATGAAACACTTAGCACATGACTGACCGCTCTGGTGTTACACGATTTTTCCAAAGTAACCACGAAAGTAGCAAAGAAAATTTTGATCAATGGGATAAGAGCCCCCCAAAGATGCCCACATCCTAATACCCAGAAGCTGTGAATATATTTGCTTACCTGAAACAAGAAACTTTGAAGATATAACACAGTTAAGGATTTTGAGATTAGGAGGTCATTTTGGATTATCCATCTGGTACTAATGTAATCAAAAGGGTTTTTACGTATAAATAAGGAGACAGGAGAGAGATTCAGAGGATGGAAGGATGGGAGGACAGGTGAGAGGGAGGCAATTGCTCACTTCTGAAGGAGAGAGCCAGGAGCTAAAGAAAGGAGGCCTGTGACATCTGGAACAGGTAAGGGAATGGATTCTCCCCAGACCCTTACAGGCACATCCCACCTTCAGACATTGCAAAATGACTTATCACATAATATCATGCTCAAGGACCACTCAAAACACATGGAAATTTCACAACTTTTAACATTTTATGTTGAGCTGCCTTCATAGCTATCTTTGGCCACATGCAGCCAACAGCCCAAAGGCTAGACACACCTTCAAGGAACACAGCCCACAAACATCTTGATGCCACATGCTGAATTCACTGAACCTCCTTTCTGATTTCTCATCTCTACAATGGCAACAAAATTAATTTGTTTTAAGCTGTTAAGTTTGTGGAGTTTATTTCAGTAGCAATAAGAAACTAACACTAAAAGAAAGGGCTGGTTAAGTCCAAAAAAAATTCATTGTGCACATTTAAATTTTATCTTGATGTCGCCTCTAGTATTATTTACTTATCTTCTTAATTTTGTCAGATTCTAGCAGAACCAGAGAGGATTAAGTGCAGTCCCCTGAATGGTTCACATTTTTTCTGTTTAGCTCCTTAACTGAGAGCCTTTCTCCCACTGAAAGATAGGAAATTGCAGGTTGTCTTATAAAATCTCTGGAAAATAGGCCTTTGGATAATCACACTTGTCATATTGGGAGCAGGAACAGGAGGACAGGGACAATCAGGAGGGCCCAGAGTCAAGATAGAAATAGTGCAGGGATGGACCATGGGCAAGGAGAAATGGAGGTTAAGTTCAGAGAGATGAGCCTGGGTGGGAATAGCTTGTGAACGTGACTGGCTAAAGCAAGCAGAAAAGGGCATGTGAGGGCTGAAGATCAAGGCAGAGGAACAGGAACGCAGGGTGCCAGAGACAGAAAGTGGGAGAGTACCAGAAGACCAGGATGTAGATGTTCAAATGGGAAGAGGCTCAGATGTGCAAACACTACAGCGACATGGAGAAGTGATTCAAACACCATGAGTGTATAAGAAGCAGGTCACAGCTACTGCATAAACCCCAAATAAAAGGCAGAAGAGGAAGGTAAAGGGAGAAAACAAGAGGAAATTTGCTTAAGTGGGGAAAGGATCAGAAACACAGATCCATGGGTTTGGGTAGCAAAAGAAGTGTCCTAGTTTCATTGCTGTTGCTCTGAGAAAACACTTTGACGTAAAACAACATAAGGGAGGAAGAAGTTGATTTGGCTTACAATTCCAAGTTACAGGACATTCTATCAGGGAAGTCACAGTGCCAGGAGCTTAGCTGGTCACACCAACAGTCAAGAGCAGAGAAAACGAACACACGTGTGCTTAGTGCTCAGCTGGCTTCCTCTACTCTCACAAAGTCCAGGGTCCAAAACTAGTAATCGATGCCTCCCACTTTGAGGCTGGGTCCTTGCACATCATTTAAGGCAATCAGAACAATCCCCCAGAGACATGCCTAGAGGCCAGTCTGATCTAGATAATCTTTCAGTTAAACTTTTCCAGGGTGATTCTATGTTGGGGCACATTGATAACTGAAACTGTCACAAGAAGAATGTAGTAACTGAGGCATGCCTGAAGACCTGAAGCAGATCACAGCCCAGAGGCTGGGGGAAGAGAAGAGTAAAGATTCTTACCCAGTGGCTGGTACGCAGCCCAGTGGCAGGGTGCTTGCCTAGCAAGCAAGAGGTCCTGTGTCCAAGCCCCGGCATCAAAATTTTCCCAACCAAGACATCACACAGCATATGATACACAGAGAGGCAAAGGCTAGAAGGGTAGGAATGGGGAATGGGATTGTGGGGGAAGTTAAAAGCCTGGGGAAGGCCAGAGGAGCAGGGCAAGGTTGACTGTGTCTGGAAGACGGGGGAAGATACTGTGAGCTCTGGCCCTCATTTGCTGGTTGGCAATTTTCTTCGGGCTCCAGTAACACCTTTCAGACATAAGGATACCGTTCTTTTGAAATTTCAGAGCGCACTTCTTATTCTTCTGTGGCAAACTTTTTAAATGTCTATATGGCTATCGTTCTAAAGTTGAATCGCATTCTAGCTCTTGTGGTTCTATAAGTCAATCAAGCACATTTCCCAACGGACATTTATAAATGGAATCTTACCTAGGCTTTCTGGAAGCCAAACCTAAGCCCCAGTGACTCACCATAAGTTCTTGGGACAAAGGTGGGGAAAGGACAGGGTAAGGAAAGTGGTTAAGCACAGACATGGTCAAAATTGGAATAGATGT